AGCTATTTAATGAGGTGGATGAAAAACAATAAAGTTCAAGACGAGTTCTTCTCTAAGCAAGGAATCAAATGGAAATTTATAATTGAGAGGGTGGCATGGTGGGGAGGCTTTTGGGAGCGTATGGTTCAGTCTCTGAAAGACTCTTCTTAAGAGAATCCTAGGCAAATCATTCCTTGACATTCAGGGAATTAGAGACAGTCATAACAGAAGTGGAAGCTATATTGAACTCCAGACCTTTAACATTTACAGTACTCGGATCCAGGAGAAGCCAGAATCTTTGACCCCTGGTCACTTCTTAATAGGAAGACGATTACTGTCATTGCCGCAAGGAAGGGAGCTCTAAATTAACTTCAACAAAGGAGTCAGTCTTACACGTCGATTTAGACACCAACAGATACTTGGTAGAAAGAATCTGGCGAAAATGGAGGCAAGATTATTTGATTAATTTAAAATCTGCTCATCATTCCAAACTGGTGAGAAAACAGGAACCTGTTTGAAGAAAGGAACTATTGTATTAGTGCATGAAGATAAAATTCCACGGCTGATGTGGAAGATGGGCATCATAATGGAAGTCTTTCCTGGAAGAGATGGCAAGGTGATAGCCTGTGCTGTCCACTTGCCCAATGGACATACGATTAAAAGACCAGTGCAACTACTATATCCAGTGGAGCTGGAATGTAATAAGGACAATTACAGCAATTGTCCTTCCGGGCGGGAGGATGCTGCAACTCAACTCTTGCTGATCCAATGGCTGAGTGACATCATCTTGAACTCTGAACTCTCTCAGTTAGAGATCACGAGAACTCGGAACTGAGAAGTTTTTCATTATGTAAATATTCTGTAACCATTTGCGTCTTTATTAAATGGGTTTGTGTAAAGAAAGTATTTATCATTTGTGGATTATCCCCTTCAAGATTTTGCAGATATTCGCACAGGAACTTCAGCCCTATGGCCCTGGCAGAACCCATTAGAACAAGGTAAGCAGTTTTGTTTTACCTTGATTAATTAGTTAGAAGTAATGATAACGATATAAAAAATAATAAGCTATGCTCACGGCAAACATTTTTTTTTTTTTTCATTTTGAGCATGAAGTTTTAGATTTTCTGTCCTTCACAGCGGGACATAACGGCATCTTTTCCTTGCAGCAGCTTTTAATTTTTTACAAGAGTCCTCAACTTATTCAGGCTGTGTTCTGTTTAATTCCATTCGCAAACTCCTGGAAATATTATGTTGGTTTCTTTTGTTTTCAGAGTGCTCCTTTAGAAGTTCTAACACAAGATCATTACAAAAAAAGCCTCCTTTTAAGGTACTTGCCTTCAGGTTTATTGGTTGACAGTAACAGGACTCGAGCGTTGATAACAGCTGTATTTAACATACTAAAAAATACAACCATTGGCCATTTGCTGCTAATCCTAGCTATAGAATATAAAGACAATATTTTGTCTACTACATCCACTGCACCTTTCGTCAGGTTATAAAAAGTAATAATTTCAGGTTTTTTGGCATCAGCAGATGAAGGACCTATAGCATTATGCGTAGTTGATAATAAAAGCACACATTTATTCTTTTTTGGAGTATATGACATTAAAGCCATATGTTTCTGAAATTCGAAAAAAATTGAATGCAATTCTCGTTTTCTGCAGCAAGTGAATTCTTTCGGTATTTCTCTTTTATTTTTCCTTACTGTTCCAATAAGAGTAATTTTTTTAACCTAGAAAGTCTTTAGCTAGACCAACAATTGTACACCAGTTGTCAACAGTGAGGTTTCTTCCCGTGTTGAAAATAGGTGCAACAAGTCTCATAACATCTTTGTTCACACTGTTTTCCAGTTTGTAGAGACCTTCAGGTTGTATCTCTGCATATATTTCTAAATTCCAGGTATAAAAGGTCCGTGAATCCACTAGAGCAAACATTTTAGTTTCGTACTTTGCAGGCTTACTGGGAATATATTGCCTGAAAGGACATCTGCCTCTAAAAGGTTCTAATTTTTCATCGAGGGCGACGTACTCACCAAGCCTGTATAACTTCTTACAGTTATTTACAAATAAATCAAACACAGATCTTACAAGAGCAAATTTATCAAGTTCTTTCCTTTTCATACAATCCCTAACATCATTGAATATTAGACAACGTAACAGAAATCTCTTATAAGACATAGTCTAGTGGAATATTTCCAGTCCTGTGCCATCAGTGGCCCAAATATCTTTCACATTAATGTGGGAAGATTTATGTAATCCACAGAGGTAAAGAAGACATATTAAGGCTTTTATTTTTATTAAATTAGTTTTTTTTTTTTCAGTCACGGTATCTTTGAAAATTATCTGCAATCTTGTCCATGTAAATGTTCGTGCAATCAACAATGTACTCTAATATGGTATTGTCAAACAGTAATAACCAAGAGCCCGTAGGGCACGATATAGTTCTCACATCACCAACATTTACTGGCGATTTAGTGATAATATTATGCAAAAGTATTCTTATATTTAGTTTTGGCTTTTGTTATTACATTTTGTAATCCCATCTTTCCCAGTATAAAATTCGCCTAAACTGGATGCATCTATTTCTCATCTGAATCAAACTCTTCTTCCGATGAAGTTTCATGAGCACTAAACTGCTCTTCATCCATACTTTCTTCATCATCATCTCCATTTATTAATTCTTCACCTGTTGATATTTAGGCAAGTTTGCGGAAGCTGTTTCATGCATCTTTTATCGGGTTGCAGGGAAAGTTCTGTCCTATTTTAAATAGGCAGGTGATTTTTCTTGTAAATAAAAAAAAAATCTGGCTAGTGAGTCAATCATATTTTTTTTTTTTTTTTTTTTTTTTTTTTTTTTTTTTGTTTTTTTAGCTGCTGTATAATATAAAAGATGCCCTTTTTTACGGTTCATTATTTACTTGTAATATTTAAAGGGAAAAGCATGTCTGTAGATAAAGTGCATTTACAACACTGCATTTTATATGAATTCCAAAAAGGAAGCAATGCATCTGTTGCATGTAAAAATTTATGTGGCGGTATTTGGAAAAGATATTGTAAATGTTCGTACTTATCAAAGATGGTTTAGGCAAATTTCGTTCCGGGGGGACCTGAGCCTCAAAGAAAGTGTTTCGATCTGGATGACCATCCAAGATCAATAATGATGTTTTGCGATCCATGTTGGAAAATAATCCACATTTAAACAGTCGAGAAATTGCAGAAGAGTTTGGCATTCATCATACAACTGTTGGAGATCACATTAAATCTCTTGGTTTTGTGTTAAAGCAAAGTGTTTGGTTCCACATGAATTAACGGAAAAGAATTTGTCTGATCGTGTAAGAATATGTTCATCACATCTGATTAGACACAATGTGGAGCCGTTTTTGGACAGGCTGGTTACTGGAGATGAAAAGTGGATTCTTTACGAGAATATTAAAAGAAAAAAATCTTACTGCAACCAGGAACATCAATCAGCAACAGTTCCAAAAACCAAGTATCCATCAATGAAAAGTACTACTGCTTTGTTTGTGGTGGGACAGGAAAGGTCCTGTGTACTACGAGTTGCTGAAACAGGGAAAAACCATTAACGCAGATCTGTACTGCAATCAGCTGGAAAATTGAATGCAGCTATCAAAGAAAAAAGGCCAGTATTAGCGTCCAGAAAAGGAATAGTGTTCCATCACGATAATGGTCGCCCGCATACTGCAGTGGTGACACTAAAAAACTGAATGCGTTAGGATGGGAAGTCCTTAGTCACCCACCATATTCACCTGATATTGTGCACCAGCTGATTATTACCTGTTCAGATGTCTGCAAGATTATCTAACAGGAAAAAACTTCAAGTCTTTTAAAAGTGTTTTCTAAGACAGTTGCTGACTATTTTAACTCCAAGGCCATGACAACTTCTACAAAAACAGGAATTTACATGTTACCTGGAAAGATGGCAACAGGTTGTAACAAATACAGAGCATATATAATTGATTAATATTAAACACATATTTTATAAATGAATTCAAATATTTTCTTTAAAATACGACAGAACTTTCCCTCCAACCCAATAAATTCTTATACAAGTGTTATTAAAAAAAAAAAAAAAAATGTGAGAATGCGCGTTGGGTCTTTCAGGCTCGGAGATGCAGTTAGCTAAAGACGGCTAAAGAAATATGACTTCCTATACAATGGATAGAGGGTGACCTTGGAAGCAGGTACTGGTAGACTCAACCATTTTCACAAAAGGGAAGAGGTTTCGCAACCCCTTGAATGCTTGCCCGGGCCTGTAAGACCTAATCCTCGCAGGTTAAACATTGATAATTAGTCTACATGTTTAAGAAATAATGAGCAATTTCAGATATAAAATCATACACTTAAAAGTAGCTATTAAAATTAACAATTACAATTTTTAAAAATGCCAACTGATTGGGGGGGGCAAGCGCTTGCCAATGCATTATTTCATACTAAGTTATCACCATCTGAAGATTTATAAACTTAATTAAAAAAATATTTAAAACATTACTGTGCATTTATTTCACTGGATCGCTTATGAATGAGGTTTACAATAAATATTTCTCTTCATAGCTTTCTATTTTGAAAAGAATGAATTCATGAAATGAAAACAGTAAACAAAACGAAGAGATTTTTTTCATGGAAAGTAAAGCTGTTATTTGAACATTGATGAAATTTAACTTTTTATTTTTTAAGGTACCTTAGGGGGGGAAGATGGAATGTAATGCTGATACCAGACATGCTGAAGACAATTTTACTTTAACAATTTTATTATTATTCTTTTTATAAATGAAAAAAAGTTTAAATTAATAATAAGTTTAAATAATTTTTAAAAAGTTTTATCAAATTAGTAAAATTCTTTGCTATTATTATTTCTAATTTTTTAGTTATTACCTGAACATTTATACATAACTTTAAACTTTGACATACATCTAATAGCTATAAAGAGAGCAGCTCATCATAATTAAACAAATTTAACATACATTAATAAAAATTGCGAAATTAAAAGCATGCAATAAATACCTCAGTTTTGCTATCTATGTGAACAGTTTTAGGAGCAGCCTTATCAAGGAACTTGTTATGGAGGCGAATGTTAGCAAACGTTCCACGGGCCATAACTTCATCATTACCTCTTCGAGCACCATATGAATTGAATTCCCTGGGTGTTAAGCTAAAAACAAACCCATTATATATATGTCAATAATCCCAATTAATTGTTGGTTATCAAAGTACATAAAATTAATAAATTTTAAATGCATAAATATTCTATTGTCTATTCCCTATTTATTCTTTGAAAAAGCCTAATAAAATTCACACGGCAAGGATGTTTCTTCAATTTTGACTTCTTACATAAATCTGCACCATATTTATAATGAATTCTTATAATGCAAATTTATAAATGAAATATAAAAACAGCAAATACCACTATGATAGTGAAGCTCACAGTGGTAATGAATTGAGCTAAAACAATGAATATCCTTCATGCACTTCCACATGGACTGCTTACTATGACGGGAAAAAATAAATTTTGCTCAGATGATGAAAAGAAAACAATTTCTTTGAAAATCAAAAACATGAGATTTGTAAGTTTTCAATTGAAAATGTCTGATAATCTGAATATAACTTTTTATGAGATGAAACTACAAAGGGAGAATTTTTAAGCGATAATTATTATTTTATTCATGCTTATAAATATGAAAATGAGGCAAAACAAGCATTCTTACCCATGGCTGGCAAGATAACGTGCAGCTGGACTGCTTCGGGATATGCTCCCTGCTGGTGATATGTGGTCAGTAGTAACAGAATCTCCAAGGTACAGAAGAACATGAGCATTCTTAATACTTCTTATTTGTGGAAGCTCTAGAGTCTAGAAAATTTTAAATCTACATTGATTATTTTAAATATGACGTATTCTCCCCAAAATATAATAATAACAAAATAAAAATACACATACACTGTGAATCAACTGATTCAATAACACAAAATAACTCTTAGCTGATTATATATTTTCAATGAGATTTAATCAACAATCCTACCTATAAGATCTGTCAAAACAAAAACATTTCTTAAAGCTTTGTATGTTTTCAGTGCATATCTTATCATGAAACATGCTAATTAACATGAATAATTTAACAATATGCTATATGAATAAAATATAAATATTATGTTTGGAAACTTGCTTTTAAGTAAAAATGCTCTACAGGTAGTATCACTGCAGATAACAACAGTAAAGAATGGAATTTCAATAAAAATGCTCTAAAAGACTTGGATCTCAAATATTTCTACACTGACATCTGATATAATAGAATTAAGTATAACTGTACAGTCAGAAATTAAAATTACTTTAGAAATTTAGTACAGTCAGGAATTAAAATTTACTTTCATAATCAAGGAATATGTATGAAAGAATGAAAGTTTAACTATTTTAATTAAATTTCAATTTTGTTATTTTTTCACTAGTCTGCATAATGATGAGTCCCTTTCACCTGTTTCTGCAAATGAGAATATAAAATGATAAGCATTCATTCTTTCTAAATTTGTCAGTGTAAGAAAACATAACACATATGAAAATAAGCATTTATATAGCCATAAGTCCCCCCCCGGGAGGCAAAATAAAGCATTTTGCTTTGCAGTGTTCTATTTTATAAAACTTGTCAAAGAGAGAGATATTATTTTGTAAAAGCATTCCTCCGCCTTTTCATTAACTTTGTCAGTGGATTTTTCAAATGATTTTTGAGAAATAAAAAATAAAAAAAAATAAAAAAAAATATTAGGTCAGTTTTTTAAACCAATATTTTTAATTTTACAATGAACTTTTTGTAGTAATACTGGGCTTTTTAAAGATTAGGAAACAAATTTGCTACATTTCAAACAGAACAAGAATTAAACAGAAGATAACTTATGTTATTTTAAAGATTTTTCATTACAAACACTGAAGCTTTTTTATGCAAAACACTGAAATGTAATGGTGCTGCTTACTTATACGTAAAACCATTTAATTATCCGATCTATGATCTATAAGATCCTATAATGTTTTTTATTTAGCTTTGATTTTTAACAAAAATAGCCTTATAAAATCAAGAAAAATCTGAAAAAGCATACTCTTATGAAAATCTGTCTTTTCTACCTCTGAATTTTCTTCTTTCACAACTTTTCTATGACTTGCCTGATGTCTCAGGCATTTTAATGCTGAACAAAGTAACGCTTAGTACATAGCCTTTGAGGCATACCAACATAAGCTATTGATGTGAAGACCTTGGAGAATCTGCCATCTCCATGCCTTATTGTAGGCCTTTTCTCCATCAAAAAACACTGAGGGTAGATTGTTTCTTTTGCAAAGTCTTTGTTTATAGATGGAAGTTTGCAAAAGGAGCATATTATCAATAGTTGCTCTACCTTTAAAGAAATTATTTTGATATGCGGAATAAGGGCCATGGGCCTGCAGTTTGATGGATTTTTCAAATCTTTCCCTGGCTTAGGTTACATAACTGACAAAAGCTTTCTTCCATACACTAGGAAAGTTATACTCTTTCCACACTTGATTATACAAAATGAAAAGGGGCAATCAGTGACTTACAGGAGAGTTTTCCCTATTTTGTAACTGATGCCATCTGGACCAGGAAAGACCTATGCATCTGTAACAAAGCTCTCCTTAATTCAAGCAGGGTGAATCTGCTATTATAAAGCTCAGCTGGCAGAGGTGAACTTAGTGGCAATTTTTTCAGCACGTCGCTTAGCAGAAAGAAATGATGGCAAGTAACTGTGGCAATTAAAAATAGCTGCAAATGTTTCCCCAAGAAGATTTGCAATTTCTTTCACAGTACTGAATGCATGGCCATCTTTTCCAGGATGAAAAGTGGGTGGTCTTTGTACATTCCACGTGCTTTTCTAACACTTTCCCATACTCAATGGGCACTGAAGATTTTATTCCAGACACACAGGATACAGGAATCCTTCTTACTCTGCCATTGTATTTTTCTTGCATTTTCTTTGGCATTTTTGAAGTTGTATTTGCTTTGGTTATAATGGTTGACATAAAGGAATATCTTCCAAAACATTCCCATGTTTTTCTCTACTCTCTTAGGGTTTCTTGGCTGATGTTAAAGGTATAGACAGGCCCCTGATGACAATAGGTGCAAGGTCGTGCGGCGCATGACAGTGCCAAGTCAAAAAGGTGCCGGACAATCATTAAAACAAGCAATTCGTCTCACTCAGGAAAATTCTTGTCTTGTTTGAATGCTCCTCTGGGAGTTAACTCAGGTAAGACTTGGGAAGCTACTGATTAATCACTAAGCAACTGTACCTAGGCACTCTCAGCCATGGGTGTTTAAAATCGGCCACGGGTGTTGTTTCCACAGGACTGGAGTCATTGTTAGTGATGGTTGTTTCAAGCCTGGCAGGGACCATATGGCGTTCATGTCCATTTCGTTGGTTGTGATTGGGCTATATAGTCAGATATTCATGGTTGTCCAGGGCGAAACACCCCCGTCGGTGGAGAGGCGAATTCAGCAAACCTTTAAAACCACTTGAGGTTTCCAGTGGGGGCCTGCAGCCATATTCATATCCTTCCTTGATTTCCTCCTGGAGAAGCCTAAAGCCAACATCTGTATACCACGATGAAGTGTTAACAAGCTGGATTGAGGGCCCAGTCTGTATGACAGTATTAAGTTCTGCTGTCCGGCGGGTTTGGGGCCTCTGATGATGGCAGATGTTTTTACCATCTCTCTAGAACAGGGACGTACGTGGAATGTGAGTTGCTAAGTATTCCTGTCGACTCAGCTTAGCTCGTCGGCTCGACAGACAGGTTAGTGGCCTCTTGCATCGCCTCTAGGGGTTGGAGCATTTAACTGTCTTAAGGCAGACTCAAGCTTGCCAGATCTGAATGCCCCTTCCTCCTAGCGCACTGTCTTATCTGACCGAAAGTTATAACCAGGGCAGGAGTTCATCTCTGGTGTTCCCTTCTGTTTTATTTGAACGTGAAAATACGTGATGCTGATTTGTATGTAAGGGTAGATGTATTCAACAAGTTGCTTAATTCTTATTTTGTGTCTACTGTCTTTTTTGTGTTTTTTTTAGACTGCTTGTTGTTATTTTATTCTACATAAAAAAGGTATGTGTAGTTACATATTATATCAAACTTAGGTTAGCTTTTTAATTCAGAAAAGTGGGTGGTCATTTGAGCATAATTATGTGAAAAAAATTTTTACATGAACCATTTGTTTATTAAACTAAAAATTACTAGCTTTCGAAAAGAAAGGATTAACATATTTATGGGGTACCACTGAATTTAAAATATACCTATTTGAGATTTGAAGAAGTAAAAATATACAAAGTATTCTGAAATCAAAAATTGGCCATTTTCTGATTTTTAGCTTATATGGAAAACCAAAGGAAAATGTTTTGTTATTTCATTATGTCGTAAATACATACTTTAAATTTGATTTATTTACTTTAATGAACAAAAGAATACTACTACTTCTTTGAATTATTTGGTTTTGATCTACTAGTTCATATATTTTCCAAGCAATGGTTTAAGATATACTTAGTTTTTCAAAAGGTAAAATATTTCAAACAGTAACTTTCCGAGTGTTTTTAAGAAGTGTTTAACTCAATAGTTCTTATAATAGTTATTTTTTTACTTTTATTTTTACTTCCGCTTTTTCTGTTTTCATCTTTCCCCACATGTTGGAACAAAAACAGAAAAACTCAGAGCATCAGAATGCAATGAAGAAAAAGAAAGTGAGAGGAAGACTTAATAAACCAGAAATTTTACATTACTCTCTTTTCTCAAAACCCAGGGAATACCCAAGCTGATGCTACTAGCACTAGTTGTCCATCAACATCATCAAAAACGAAAGAGTTAAAAGGGATTAGTTGCTAAATTCTGCTAAAAATCTTCTGTTTATTGTTTTTGTTGCAAAATTTTTAACAGTTTCAGCAATGTAAAATTAAGTAGTTCTGAATTTAACAACTGGAACCACTTAAATGAGCACTTTATACTTCATGAAAAAAATAAAATGCATTTCTGGAATTTACATTTTTGGTCCAATTTCTTAGAACGATTATGAAAGAATCAACCTGTTGATTCAGAATTTCAAAATTTACTTAAAAAAAAAAAAAAAAAAAAAAAAAAAAAAAAAAAAACTAAGCATTGGTGCAATGTTATTGAAAGAATTATCTATATGCCATTCAGTTTTTAGCCAAACAAAATTTTGCCTTGCATGGGTCCAGTAACAAGTTATTCAAAAGAAATAATAATTTTTCAAATTGTATAGAATTAATCACAAAATTTGACCCTATCATGAATGATTATATAATGAGGCAGATTTTTTTTTTAGTTTGAATTTTATTAATACGAGGGCCATCCAGGAAGTAGATTACGTTTCCGTCTGTGTCCGCTAGGGGCGGGGCTAGCGCGGCCATCTTGGGGTCAGAGCGTTGCGCAGCTCAGTCTGCATCTAGCCGTGCTAGTGAGAGGTTCGTGCTGTGCTCCGTTCAGATACTGTGACGGTTTGAAATGTCTGCGTTAATTGAAAATCCCGCGAGCTGCGAGGTGCGCTCAGTAATAGGTTTCTGACTGCAAAAAAACTGTAAACCGATAGAAATCTATCGGCAGCTTCGTGAAGTGTATGGGGACAACATTATCACTGAAGGTGGAGTGCGTCAGTGGGTCATAAGATTTCAAAATGACCGAACCAATGTTCACGACGAAGATCGAAGTGGGAGACCCAGCATAGTGACCGCCGAACTTCTCGAAAAAGTCGATGCTAAAGTCCGTGAAAATCGAAATTTCACAATAACGGAACTTTCTTTGAGTTTTCCACAAATTTCGCGAAGTTTTGTTGCACGAAATCATCAGCGAAAAGC